ATGCTCCCAGAAGCTCCGTTTCTCAACCTCTCTTCCGGGCAGGCGGGCGGCTGTGTCAATAGCTTCCCTTTGTCCCTGTCTGACAGTCCTGTTGCTGTCCTTTGATTGTCCACCCACCTCTGCCCGGATATGAGGACCTCTGACCCTCCTGGTCCCCCTGCTTTAAGTCTGTCCACCTCTGAGGTCTCACTGTCCACCTCTGTCCCCTCTGGCCACGGTGAGGGTGTCTCCACATCCGTCTCTCTCTTTCTCTCTGTTTTCCTGGGTTTCCTCCGCCTCTTTCCCCATCTGTTTCTCTGGATCTCTGTCTGTCTCTCTCCCTATTCTCTGAGTCTCTGTTGACACTCTCCACATCTCTGTCTGCTTATCCCCCCCTGGCTTCCCCTGCATTTCCATGAGAAGCCTGTGCCCTTGCCCAGATGTGGGTTAGTTTAGGGAGACGGGGCGGGGGGGGGGGGGGGGGGGGGGGGGGCGGTTTACGATGAGATTCAACGTGTAGGGAGAGGCTGGGAAATAAGCAGGGATGCAAGAAAACGCGAGAGGGATGTGGGAGTGCGAAATGGGGGCCTCGGGTGCTATGGAGGGATCCAGGGGGATTTGAGGAGGTGCCTTTGAAGCTGGGCCTTGAAAGTCGGGCCTGGGGTCAGGAGAAGCAGGGCGTAGAGGCCTGGCTTGTGGTGGATGTGGGCTGACGAGCAAGAGCGTGGCCTCGGGGAGGGAAATAAAAATGGATGTGATGAGCACAGAGCATGAGAAGGAAAATGGGGACTTGTGGGCCGATCACTGGACATGAGGACAACTGGTGTCAGTAATGTCCACCTCGGCACCAGCTTGGGCCTGGCACTGGGGGATGAAAGTCAACATTTGGCATTCAAAGTGCTCTCAGACTGCTCCCATGCTCCCAACCTCCTCCAGGCCCCTCACACCCACGTTCCCACTGAACTCAGCATCTTCTCAGAACCCGCCATCCTCCCTGACAGCTGGCTGGATCTCTCACAGCCCGACCCAGCACCTTCTCTCTCTGTTGGCTCCCTCCTCTCTTTCCCCATGTCCCTGATCCCAGCTCAGACCTGCTTCTCGCCCACCTGGAGCACCACCCTGGGCTCTTCCCCCTTCTCTGTATCCTTCCCTTGACCCCAGAGGGGTCTTCCTGCACCCAGAGCTGACCCTGCCCCTCTCCTGCTCATAGCCCTGCTCTGGCTGCCCCATCATCCCTGGGACAAAGTCCCAGCCCCTCAGCCAGGTGTTGGGAGACCCTTCAGCATCCAGGGCAGCACTGGTCAATAGAAATATAATGCCAAGTATACGTGCACTTTTAAATTTTCTAATAACCACACTTCTTTTTTTAAATAGTAAAAAGAGGGACATCTAGGTGTGGCTCAGCCGGTTGAGCATCCAACTCTTGATTTTGGCTCAGGTCATGATCCCAGAGTCGTGGGATCGAGCCCTGCATTGGGTTCCGTGATGAACATAGAGTCTGCCTAAGGTTCTCTCTCTCTCTCTCTCTCTCTCTCTTTCCCTCTCCTTCTGTTCCTCTCTCCTGCTTGCTTTCTCTCTCTAAAATAAAAAAAAAATTAATTACGGGCGCCTGGGTGGCTCAATGAAGCGTCCGGCTTCGGCTCAGGTCATGATCATGTGGTTTGTAATTTCAAGCCCCACGTCAAGCTCTGTGCTGACAGCTTGGAGCCTGGAGCCTGCTTCAGATTCTGTGTCTCCTTTCACTCTGCCCCTCTCCTGTTTGGGCTCTGTCTCTCTCCCTCTCTCTCTCTCTCAAAAAATAAATAAATATTAAAAATTTTTAGAAAATTAAAAATTAAAAAATTTTTAAAATAAATAGTAAAAAGAAACAAGTTCATTTTAATATTTCATTTAACCCAATACATCCAATATTGCCGCGTGAAATCGAAATAAGAACATGTTTAAAGATAGTTTGCCTTCTTATTTTTTGCACGGTGTTTGGAATCTGATGTGTCTTTCCCTTACAGCACATCTCATTTACAACTTGCCACATTTCACAACTCAGGAGCCACCGTGGTGAGAAACCACCACATTGCACAGCCCAGCTCTGCCCATGGGTCTCGTGCTCCAGCCATGAAGATTGCTCTCTCACCTCTGGGCCCTCACCCATGCTATTCTCCCTCTCCAAATGCTCTTCTCACCTTCCCCTGGCCACAACTTGTCTTTCAAGTCTTTGCTTAGATATCACCTCCTTCAGGAAGCCTTCCCTGAACACCTTCCAACTTCCACTCCCTGCACTTGGGTTAGTCACTCTCTCACCTAGGTTCCCACAGCAGGTGCCTCCCCCAGGTCACCTTGGACCGTAAGCATCTGGATCCACATCACCCCCCTCCCCCACTGAATCATGAGCTCCTTGAGGGCAGGCACTGAGGCTAAGTCACCCCTGTGTCCCAAGTGCCCTCACAGGACCTGGCCCAGAGGAAGCCTTGGAAAATGTTGACCAAATGATTAAATGACTTCATTACACCCACTCCCATTTTACAAAGAAGAAACTGAGGCTCAGAGAAGGAAGTTAATTATTCAACATCCAACACTCAGGAAATGGTGGGGCCTTTTGGATTGGAACTCAATTTCCAACATGGCGGTAGACATGATCCACCTTTTGGTGCTCCCACCGGGTGTACCTTATTGGAATAAGGGATGGGAGGGCTAGGGGGAGTTGTTGAGAGAGCCTTGTGGGAAAGGAGGGAGGTGATAGGCGGTGTGGAGCTCCACCTCTAAGAGCCTCTAGAAGAGAGATAATGAAGTCCCCAACTGCAGGCATCTGCCAGTGACCTTTAGGATTCTGCCCTCTCTGCGTGCCACGCATGCTTATGTACAAGATGTTTTTCTCCAAATTGACATGCTCTGCAAAAGTCTTCAATAAAGAAAACGTGTTACAAGAAAACTTTGAGAGTGTAAGCAAGGAAAAAAGTGCCAGAAATTACAGACAATAAGAGCCAATACGGCTTCAACTGACGGCTTATTCCATGTTAGGCACTGTTCTAGCACTTTCTGAATATTAAGTTTATTTAATCTTCATAACAGACTTGGGAAATAGGTGTTATTTCTCTCACTTCAAGGATGAAGGAAGAGGAATGGGGAAGTCATGTGCAAATAGCTTGTAGGGGCTGGAATCCAAGAAGCCTGGTTCTGGAGTCAGTGCCTTTGTCTACTATGCTGAGCTGTCTGTCCAAAAAGAAAGGAAGTAATTTTTTAAACAATCCAACAAGACCACTATTTCAAGTCATTGCAAACAAACCCACCCCCACACTTGTATATGGGAGCAGCCAAAAGGGAGGGCCAGGTGTCTCCAGGCTGATTTAGTGCAACTTCGAGGTTTCATTACTTTTTAAACTTTAGATTGAATATTGATTTGGGGCGACTTGCCTGGGAGAGGAGAAGTTGATGGATCTTCATGGAGGATGGTGGCTGGAAACCCTTGACATTCCTTACTTAAACTTGACACTGATACAGAGGCAGGAGGGGCCAGGGGACACCTGGGTCTGAGGGGAGAGGTGCTGGAGGCAGGGATGCTTAGGTCTGAGGAGGGGTCTGGACTCCTATGATTTCTGCAATATGGGGAGGAGTAGAGGAGTTGGGGGCTAGGAGAGACTTGCCAAGGAGATGAGATGGGGAGAGGAAGGATCTGGAGGACAGTGGCTCAGAATTCTGGGGGAGAAACTGGCAAAGAGGCAGGAGGGTGAGCCTTCGGCTGGAGAGGATCCCTCTGTCAGCAGCGTCTGAGGTGTGATTGCCCAGAGAGCCTTGGATGGCATGAAGCCAGGGGCATGGCCAGTCTCTGAGTCACAGGGGACTCCTCCCTCCTCTCTTCCAGAGGTCCCTCCCCTGCCTTCTTTGAGAATAGGACCTCACCAACCCAAATTCCCTCCCCCATCTTCCTCTGGCACCTGGGATACTGGCTGCTCACTTTGGGTGGGCTCTTGGGGGGACTCAGGTGTCCCATCCCCCCGCCAGCCCTATCCTTCCCAAAAACTTCCTTCTTTCCTGGTTTGCCACCTGTGAAATACTCAGGAACAATTTCACGTCCTTTCCACCCCAATGAGGTAGGCTTATTCTCTTTTTCCTCTGCCCTTCCTTCTTCCCTCTTGACCTTTTCTTGCTCTCTATCTCTCTGTCTCCCCCATTTTACAGATGAGGAAAACTAAAATCTGGGAAATGGACAGAAACAGGTCACTAGGCAGGGAGCAGGGCGAGGGCTCAAAATCAGATGTGTCTCCCTCTCTTAAGGGTCCCTCTCCCCCAGCCTTAGATCTTCAGAGCTTTTCCACCTTTGTTTGCATGTTGCAAAAGTGCACACCCACAGAAAATAAATGGAAGGAAGGAGGCACCCTGTAACTACCACTGAATGCAGGTTAGTACATGTCTTTTCGGATTTTATTCTGTGACTATTTCATTTCACATGGCTAGAGTCACATACACATATTTGTATCTCTTTTTTCATGTTCCATCATACAACACAAACATTCTTGAATAACACTAGCAATGCTGCAAAGTTATTATCCTTAACAGCTTCCTAACATCCTTGTCCCAAACGGGCCTATTATTGATCTAAACAATCCACCGATTTGGGACATGTTCAGTGTTTCCACTGTTTTGCCAGGATACTGTTGTGATGAATTCAAACCTTGCTCCGCAGTTGGATTTTTAGTTTATTTTTTCAGGAATATCTTTCTAAACCAGAATCACAGGGTCAACGGTGGTAACTAAGGGTCTCAATTCACCTTGCCAAACTGCCTTACATAAAAATTGCATGATTTACAGTTCCGCTGGTTAAGAGTGCTGGTCTTTACCAATACTGAAGTTTTTGTGTGTTAGGCCTTTGTTGATTTGATTGGTTTACACACATGGCATATTGTTGAGGTTGTAACATGTCTTTGAGGAAAGGTAAGGTCAAATAATGACCACAGTTCATCACGTCCTTATTTCTGTAAATTTCTTGTTCCAGGAGTATAGATGAAGAGATGGGAGGTATGCAGAGATTAGCCATGCCTTCTCATGGTCTCATTTATCCACTTGAAGTACTTGCAGACTTGGGTATAGACACCTGGGTCATTGGGTTGGCCACAAGGGAAAGTTCCCCAGGACACCAGGCCTTGCAGGGTACCTTTGCACATCAGTGGTCCCCCTGAGTCACCCTGGAGAAGAAAGAGCAGATTAGCTTTGGTTTCAGAGCAACCACCACAGACATGTCCACAGTGTGTAGTTATCACATCTCTGTCCTGCCAGACCATGAACTTCCACTCTGGCCAATGGGAAAAGACTCATGGTCTCTGGGGACCAGTGGGAGAGCACAAATTAGTGCTGTCCTGGAGAGAACCAAACGGCTATCTGAAGACATGGACTTGTGCCCCAGCCAATGGGACCAATCACTGGGAGGTGAGGGAGCTTCCAGAGGTTAGAGTCCCACTTACTTTCCCCTCGTTAAGGACTCTTCGCCAAGCCAGAGGGAGAAGGAACATCGTCTCCAGAGAATGGATACATGCCCCTTGAGATGAAAGGGGAACAGGGGCAGGGCCAATGACATATTTCACAGACCGCAGTGCAAAATGAATATGCAGCCCCCTTGTTCAAAAATTATGAAAAGATTCAAGACAACAACAGAAGTGCGTTAAACCATGTGCGGGACTCTCCCGAGTGTGGAGTGAAGCCCTGTGCCACTGCACAACTTGCATATTCATGACACTGGCCATCCCTAAGAAATAAGCCCCACCCCCTGCCACTCTCTAGGACATACATCCTTGTCTCATCCCCCCCATCTCTAACACACACCACCCCACATCCCCTGAAAACTGACTGTACCGACGTGGGCAAAGAGCGTGGGGGTACAGAAAGAAGGGTGGAAAGAAGGCAGAAGGAAGAGGGGGACAGAGAGGAAGAAATGTAGGGGGTGAAGCAGAGATGAACACAGGTAGAGACAGGTAAATAAAAAGAGTGACAGCGGCAGATGAGAGAGAGAGAGAGAGAGAGAGAGAAGGAGGGAGAGAGAGAGAGAGGAAGATGGAAAGCGATGACATTTAGAGACAGAGAGGAGGTTATAAAGATGATGAACAGGGTTCATGGGTGGCTCAGTCAGTTAAGCATCCAACTCTTGATTTCGGCGCAGGTTATGATCTCATGGTTCCTGAGGTCAGGCCCCATGTCCTGTGCCTGTCGGCGCAAGCTCAGAGCCTATTTGGGATTCTCTCCCTCTCTCCCCCTCCCCTGCTTTCTCTCTCTCTCTCCCTCAAAATAAATAAAATAAATATTAAAAATAAAAAGATGAAGAAGGGGGAACAAAGAGGAAGGGGAGATAGTTCCTTTCCTAAAAAGTAGGACCGGGATAATGTGGAGGAGACATTAGCTCTGGGCACAAAATCTCAATAATTGCACTAAATAGTATTGTAATGCAATAGTTAAAAAAAAAAAATCAAATTTGGTATGAAAAAGTCCATGCTGAGCACGGTATCCCAACTTTAGGTAAAGACAGGGTCAGTACAGTGCTATGCTGCATCATTACTGGAGACCGAGGCAAATGAGTGGTTCAGTAAGACTGATTGCTCTTTACTGAAAATTCTGATATTTTGCTCATCATGGACTTTTTGTATGGATTTTATTTATTTTTTAATTTTTTTAATGTTTATTTATTTTTGAGACAGAGAGAGAGAGAGAGAGAGAGCATGAATGGAGGAAGGGCAGAGAGAGGGAGACACAGAATCCGAAGCAGACTCCAGGCTCCGAGCCATCAGCACAGAGCCCAACGCAGGGCTTGAACTCACGGACTGCGAGATCATGACTTGAGTCGAAGTTGGACACTCAATCGACTGAGCCACCCAGGTGCCCCTGCACAGATTCTAATTTTGTAGAATACTGCATTAGTAGAATATGATTTGTTTTGGCATCCACTTGAAGTTTGGGCTTGAAGCCAGTGCCTCACTTGCCTGTCTCAACATCATCTTTCCCACTGCCGTTCTGCCCCATCCCCAGGGTCATGCCAGCCTCCTGGGCTCCCACTACTGCCCCAGCAGAGAACAGGATAGAGAGAGCTAGGAAAACTGGCCCTCGGGTGGGATGGGGTACAAGGGAAGGTTCGGTACCAGGGTCAGGTGCACAGATTCGGTATTGTGGGGACGACAGGGGAGCCAGGGATGGGGACAGGTGGAGTCTCACGTTGCAGGCATTGGTCTTGGAGTTGGGGAGGCCAGCACACAGCATGGACTTTCCCAGCAGGTCCTTGTAAACCTTCTTGCAGTCCTGGGAGGAGATGAGTCTGACATCTGTGCACATTAGCGTCGATGGAAAGGTCACTGGTGGAGAGAGGGGGTGGTCAGTCAGAGGCCTGGACCTGGGGCCCCCAGAGTGCTTGGACCCTGAAGGAAGATGGGGCTAGAGGCTCAACCCTCAAGTCATGAAATGGGCCTGACTCCTTGTCTCTGGGGTCCGAGGGAGGAGTAGTCAGGAGCCAGGGCTCTTGGGTCTCTGAGACAGCCTTACCATCCGGGCTGGTGGTGGTGCCCCAGCCAGAAACGGTGCATGTGGTCCCAGGAGGTTCACAGCGGGAGGACAGCTTGACTTTCCTCACACTCGACGACAGCTTGGCTTGGTGATCCAGCTTCACAAGCATGAGGTCATTAACATGGGTCTGAGTGGAGTAGCCAGGGTGGCGGAATGACTGTGTGGCCCGGATCTTCTGGGCTCTCTTATCACCCAGCTGATCACTGCCCATGTGCACCTGGTACTCACTGGGACGAGACAGTGGCATTCAGAGAGAAACTCTGTCATTGGGAGAAGGGACAGGGACCTCAAGGGAAGCAGACAGAGACCCCAAGAGAGGAGGAGAGAGACCCAGAAGGAGGGGGGCCGAGACCCTGAGAAAGGGGGACAGAGACCCAGAGAGTGGGTTCCACAGTCCTTGCCACATACCTCATCTTGCAGTGGGCAGCGGTGAGCACCCACTGCTCATTGAGCAACACACCTCCACAGTGAAGCTGATTGCCCCGGAGCAGGGCCACCTGCCAGGGTTGGGAGCCTCTTGTACATGGGACTCCATCAATAATCTTCTCCCCACTCTTGTCACCCTGGGCTGGATAGAGACATGGAGGGAAATGTGGGTAGCAAGCATCAAGGGGGCTGAAGAGGCAGCTGATGGTTTTGGAGAGAAAGATGGAAAGAGACAGAGAGACAGGAGAATGCAGAGGTGGAAAAGGAGAACAGTGCAGAGAACGCAGGACGTGGCGGTGGAGAGAGACAGAGGGAGTCTGCTCAGAAACCCAGGAGAAGCATCTTGTCTGGAGGCAACCACTGAAGCTTATGGGAGCAACACTGAGTGCAGGAGATGGCCTGGAGGGCACAGAGACCCCAGGAGTCAGAAGGAAGCAGGAAAAAATAGGGCAGGAGGCAGAAGAGTCTTGTTTTCCTTGGGCGGGAGCCGCTGCAGGGGGAGGGTCCTGACTCAGGGAGTCCTTGGAGAGAGAGGGCCCTGGGAAGGGTCAGTGGGCATGGAGGGAGGCTCCAGGGGTGAAGCCAGGCCTCCCAGTTCAGCACTCACCTTCTTGTGCAGCAGATCTCAGGGCTAGAGACCACAGTAGGATCTGCAGTGGCAAGAGAAGGGATCCTGCCATGGTGGCCTCTCTGAGCCTCGCCAGGGGCTGCCAGGCAGAGGAAGGGCCTCTTCTGCTGGGACTGGGGAGGACAAAGAGTTCAAGAAGCAGTCGTCCAAGCCCCCAACTCTCCCCCAGCAGACCCAGGGGTCTCGGCCCCAGCCCTTCCTCCCTCAGACCCAGGAGGCCAGGCCTCCAGACCTCCCTTCTCCTTGGGACCCAGGAATCTGGGTTCCCATCCCTCCCCATCTACAAGTCTAGGTCCTCAGTTCCTTTTTCCCCGACAGACGCCAAATGGCAGACTTCCAGCCCCTCATCCCTCAGAACCGGGACTCCAGGCTCCTCCTCCCCTTAGGAGCAGGAGCCAGCTGTCCGGCCAGCCTCATCCCGCACCCCAAACGAGGCCCCTTCTCACCTCTGGAGGGTCTGATGTGATCTCGGCTGCGGACTCAGTCGGGAGCCAAGCGTGTCCAGCCCTGTGCAGGGCGGCCCTCTTATACCACCTCCACCCCCACGCCCGCCCCCAGCGCCCTGGGGTGCAGGTGGAGCCGGCTCTGAGACACCCCCCTTCCTGTGTTCGCAGTTATCTCGAAGCCCTGAGGCGGCTAAAGCAATTGGCCGCACTCAATTCTTTCTCCACCCTCCCTCTGGAGGCCTGGGTCGGGCGGTCCCCAGCCAGTTCGCCCCCGCCCCTTCTGGTCCGACGTCTCGTGTCTCTCTCTCTCTCTCTCTCTCTCTCTCTCTCTCTCTCTCTCGTGGCTGGAGAGACCAGGTGCTAGCTCTGAGGGGGGCCACGGGAGCTGGAGTCAAAGGAGGGCTGAGCTCTGGGATTGGCCTCCTCTGGGGCCATTTTCTTGTCCTTGTTCCCCCTCAGGGGCGACCTACCCCCAGTGCCCTAATTCTGACCAGCTTGTGGGAACCTGTCCAGTCTGGATCCTAGTGGCGCCTTTGAGCCTGAACCCACTCCCAGCCCCGATATAGGGATATGAATTAAAAAGAGAGTGTTTTCCCTAATCCCACCTTACTAAATGCTCACTGTTATCATCATATACATAGATTTCTATCATACTATGTATTTATAACAACAACAACAACAACAACAACAACAACAACAAAAACCCTGTACTGGGCATTCCATAATATAACTTTTTTTTTCCTCTGTAAAATGCCTTGAACAATTTTTTCCTGGTAGTTTATTTAGATAATTTCCTCTTCCTTCCTTCCACAGATAGTATTCCAGTCTACGATTGTACCATGATTTATGTAATGTGTTTCAAACTGGAGTATATTTGGATAGTTTTAGTTATAATAATGCTGGGATGAACTAACTTCTTTGTACATTCATCTTTGTTCCTTGTGTTCATTCAAGTATCCTTTGGACATCTACTCTGCCAGACACTGTTTTGCTCCTGGGGACACAGCAGTCAACAAAGCAGACAAAAATTCCTTCACAGAGGCTCTCCTAGCAGGTGGAGACCATGAATACAAAAATAAGTACATAAAATATATTGTTTGTTAGGTGGTGGTAAGTGCTACGGAGAAAAATAAAAACAGGAAGAGGGATAGGGAGTTCTTGGTTCTCTCCACTCTCAGAAATCCCTAAGGTTATATAGTTGGGAACAATGATTAGAAAGACTCCCATGTGAAGGTGACATCTTAGCAAAATCCTGAAGGAGATGATGAATGGATCCATGTAGCGACTTCTGGGTAGTGAGTGCCAGGCAGAGCAAACATGCAGGTGTGAGACTAGAATATTCTAACAGGGAAGACGTTTTGACTGGAGCTGAATGACCAAGGGAGACAAGGTCAGACCATGAGATCAGAGACATAACAGGACTCAAAGGACATAGAGTCTTGAAGACCAATGTAGAACTTAGGCTTTTACTTTAAATGAAATGGGAACCATTATTTGATTATTACTTGAAGGCAAATTCCTAAAAGTGGAATTGCCCCAACTTCCAAAGCAGCCCTCCAAAACGTGACTGGTTCCTCAGCTATCAGCCCAAATCTTGTCTGAATGCCAACCCCAACCCTATTCTACCTTTGTCCCATAACATAATAGGCATTATTGTTGCCTACCCAAGCATTCACTCCTTCTGCCTTTCTATGAGCACCCCGATTTTGATTGGATAATCTTTCATCCTTACACTTTAGTGCAGTAAAAGCACCAAACATGAAAGCCATACTCTGCTTGCCAGTGACTGGTTTAGACACGGACATGAAAGGCCGTCCTTGGGGCGCCTGGGTGGCGCAGTCGGTTAAGCGTCTGACTTCAGCCAGGTCACGATCTCACGGTCCGTGAGTTCGAGCCCCGCGTCGGGCTCTGGGCTGATGGCTCGGAGCCTGGAGCCTGCTTCCGATTCTGTGTCTCCCTCTCTCTCTCTCTGCCCCTCCCCGTTCATGCTCTGTCTCTGTCTGTCCCATAAATAAATAAAAACGTTGAAAAAAAAATTAAAAAAAAAAAAAAAAAAAAAAAAAAAAAAGAAAGGCCGTCCTGGCCAATAATGAGAGGAAGATCATTGGGGCACTTCTAGGAAAGACTGTCTTATTTTCAAAAGTGACACCTGAAGAGTTCTCTTTTCTTCTGCCAGATGATGTCCCTTTTGGATGTAAGTTATGGAACTGTGGCAGTTCTGCTGGAGCCACGGAGAGAAACATCTGGCAGACCAAGCCAAAACAGTGAAAATGGCCAAAGAGAGAGATGGGGATAAATGGGGTCTTTGATGAGGTCTCTAAGCTAGTGAATTAACCAACTATGGTGCTTCTTCATCTTGTGACTTCTTCAGGTTTCCTATCTGATTTGGAGTTTTTGGTTCCTACAGCCAAAATCTTCCTTAATAAAACCTCAATGTTAAATTCAAATCTGATCCTAAACCATGAATCCAAACCCAATTCTAACTTGAATCTGTACCTTGAAGCCACAGTAATCAACAAACCCAGTCCTGCCTCCAATCCTAGTTCTCTTTCCAGCCCTCCTTCCACATTGCCTTTCAGATCCAACCCTTCATACGTATTGAGCACCATCTATATACACAGGCTGGGCTAGATGCTGAGGATACTATGGTGCACAAACCTGGACAGAGTTCCTTCTCTCAAGGAGCTGACAGTCTAGTGTAAAATAAAGATGCATAATTCATAAATAAATGTAAAATTACAAGTCCAATGTGTGCTCTGAAGGAAAGCACTTCCTGGAGACCTTGACCCAGGAAGTGGCAATGAGCTAAGAGTTGAAAGAACGGTAAATTTTAACAAGAATAAAATGGGAAGGGATTGGAGAGTATATCATTTAGATGAAACTGTATGTGCAAAGGCTCATGACATTGTATGTCATGGTGAGTTTGACTTTATTCTGTAGACAATGGTGAACCACTTGGAATTCAGTCACAGAGTGACATAACAAGATTTGTGTTTGCAAAATGTCACTCTACCTCCTATATGGAGGATGGATTTTAAGGGGATGTAGACACATAAGGAGACTATTGCTATAATCCAGATGAGAGATGATGGTGACTTGGATAAGGCCATTTAGGAGGTGAAAATGGAAATAAGAGAATAGATTCAATATGTGCTCAGAGAAGAAAATCAATAGGCGTTAGGCATGGATTAAATGGATGTTGTGGTGTGAGAGACAGTTGTTAAGACTTCAAGTCTCCTGCTCGATGGATGATGGTGCCATTGAGAAGGCCTGATCAGATATGATCAAGTGCTCATGAGAAGGTGAGAAAGACCTCAGTCACTGGCTTCAAGCACAATTCTTACTGACACAGTTCACAACACCAATTTTTTAAAAATCCTTTTTAATGTTTATTTATTATTGAGAGAGACAGAGACAGAATGCGAGTGGGTTAAGGGCAGAGAGACAGGGAGACACAGAATTCAAAGCAGGCTCCAGGCCCTCAGCTGTCAGCACAGAGCCTGATGCGGGGCTTGAACCCATGAACCGAGATCATGACCTGAGCTGAAGTCAGACACTCAACCGACTGAGCCACCCAGGCACCCCTTGCAACACCAATCTTGACACAAACCCAAGTCTTAACCTGAAACCTCAGTTCATACCCAAACCTAACCCTCAATTCTGCTTTATCCTTGTCCAATTCTAACTTACTTGACCAAGTCCCTGACTCCAAATGTTAGCTTGAGCTATGGCTTACACCTCAATCAACCATAAACCTTGACCCAAACCCTGAATCCCTAACCATAAACCAAACTCAACCTTGACCAAAACTGAATGTCACCATAGCCTCAGTCCCAAGCCTGACCCATGCACAACTATAGTGCCCATCCCTGTAATATTCCAGAAGGCCCACACTGACATATTCTCCATGAACTCACCCCCAAATCACACTAATCTTAACACTCTGGCTCCACTTCCAGCCCTATTCTCCTCTTCAACCCAATTTCTATCTAAAATTCCATATTAATTTCCATGCCCAACTCCTTTCCCCACCCCCGCCTTCATTTTCCCAATTCCACACACCACCTTGACTCTTTGTTTCATACAACTTCTAAAATAAAGTCTACCAACTAACACCATACTAATATTGATCCTATACTGACTAAATTCAAGCTAAGTCCCCAAACTTTCTAAGACACTTACTCTCATCAAATCCAAAATGAGACCCCAGAACTCAGACTCCTGATGTCACCAATTCCACAGGAGGACCCTGGCCTTGAGGGATGTCAGCCTTCCTGACTTGGGCTCCCAAATCAAGAAGGACTAGACCCCAGGCCACTTAACCTCATAGCCCTGTGAGTCAGTAATCTATCTTTCTCTCCTGGCTTCTTAAGGAGGGAAATTTTAGTAAGACTTCCAATTTGTCATCTAGTGCCCAAATCTTTATCCCTGGATTCTCTCTTCAGCTCCCTGCCTCATCAGCATTCTGTCAGAAAGAAGAAAGGAGCCCCATTCCTCTGGAGCCCTGTCATTCATTCATACATCCCCTGAACTTCTCCTCTGTTGTGCTCTGAATGTCTGTCTTTCTGTGTTTAATTATTTAATCTGATGTTGTTGCTAAACACCT